AACCAGAGTCATCAGAGAATCCATATGCTTTGCAGGCGATGAGTCACAATAACGTGGCTGAAGTATGTTGACCAGACCACACACTAGAAGTTGAAGGGACGACGACGTTTCGGTCCATCCTGGACCATTCTCAAGTCGATTCCCCTTGACTTGAGAATGGTCCAGGAAGGACCGAAACGTCGTCGTCCCTTCAACATCTAGTGTGTGGTCTGGTCAACATTTAAATGCTTTGTGTATCTGGATACAAGTTACTCAGCTAGACTAAAGGACCTCATGGCTTCCACCCCACTTAAAACATAAGAAGTTGGACAATAATTCAGCAGTGGTAACATTGAAGACCTACGATCATAGTGTGTAGTTCTTGATATCGTTTAAACAAAATGTGTGAACTAACTAGCAGCTCCCATTCCAGCTTGTATTGCATAACACATTTGGCACCAATATGAATGAAATCCAGATTCGTAGATGAGCACCTAAGAAAGGAAGAACGCCAGACTAATCCCAAGTGGCTTTGGAAAAGGAATGATTTGATAAAAAAATCTCCCTGCCAGGCTAGAAAAATCACCCTTTTAAAGGTAATCTACTAACCAGCACATCATTTTTGTTATTGTAGGTACAGCCAATTAAAACAATAGACGAATGTAGAGGAGATACATATATCCTTATTTGTTGCTGAAGATTTTGACAGATGCGAATTATTTTTGGCAGACACAAAGCATAAACACCTTGGGACAAATTGTAATTGCTCCTGTTTCATAATGCTGAGAATTATATTTCTCCCCTAGGCAATAGTAGGTGTAGATAGGACCTTAGACCTACTATTGTCGTAAGTGTAGGGCCCACCAATTTCTCTAGCTTCTCTAGCTGTTAATGAGCAACAATATTCCACCCTAGAGAGCAATGTCTTAGAAAATATCATCATTGGTATGGCATCCCTTGTTTGGAAGGTCCTTGTTATCCAACCTGTCATTTTCTTCCTTAAAGGCAGTGTGATCAGATCACAGCTTCAGATCAACACATATTTCAAGGACATCCTGAAGTTAATTCCTGAGGTATGACATGCGCCTTTGCAGATAAATGCACTCTTAAGTTTACTAGAGACCCGAACGTGAATGTAGATCACATTAATGAGGCTACCAGACAGCTATTTCCTTGTTAAAACAAGTAAACGATTCCTAAAGTAAACTTAAATCACAAAGGCTACACATGAATACCGCCTTAGCATAATAGGCTACACAAGAAAAATATGATATTAATCATTAATATATTAATCAGAAAATCAAATGTTGCAGCAATAACAGCAGGAGTAGCCTCAGCAACAAGAAGAGCAACAGTTGCAGCAGCAGCAACAGTAGCAACAATAATAACAGTTGCAAAAAGCAGCAACAACTAGAGCAAGTGTTGCAACAGCAGCAAGATCAACAGTTGCAGCAGTAGCAGCAAGATCAACAGTTGCAGCAGTAGCAGCAAGATCAACAGTTGCAGCAGTAGCAACAAAATCAACAGTTGCAGCAGTAGCAACAAAATCAACAGTTGCAGCAGTAGCAACAAAATCAACAGTTGCAGCAGTAGCAACAAGATCAACAGTTGCAGCAGTAGCAACAAGATCAACAGTTGCAGCAGTAGCAACAAGATCAACAGTTGCAGCAGTAGCAACAAGATCAACAGTTGCAGAAGTAGCAACAAGATCAACAGTTGCAGCAGTAGCAGCAAGAACAACAGTTGCAGCAGTAGCAGCAAGAACAACAGTTGCAGCAGTAGCAGCAAGAACAACAGTTGCAGCAGTAGCAACAAGAACAACAGTTGCAGCAGTAGCAACAAGATCAACAGTTGCAGCAGTAGCAGCAAGAACAACAGTTGCAGCAGTAGCAGCAAGAACAACAGTTGCAGCAGTAGCAGCAAAAACAACAGTTGCAGCAGTAGCAGCAAGAACAACAGTTGCAGCAGTAGCAGCAAGAACAACAGTTGCAGCAGTAGCAGCAAGAACAACAGTTGCAGCAGTAGCAGCAAGAACAACAGTTGCAGCAGTAGCAACAAGAACAACAGTTGCAGCAGTAGCAACAAGAACAACAGTTGCAGCAGTAGCAACAAGAACAACAGTTGCAGCAGTAGCAACAAGAACAACAGTTGCAGCAGTAGCAACAAGATCAACAGTTGCAGCAGTAGCAACAAGATCAACAGTTGCAGCAGTAGCAACAAAATCAACAGTTGCAGCAGTAGCAACAAGATCAACAGTTGCAGCAGTAGCAACAAGATCAACAGTTGCAGCAGTAGCAACAAGATCAACAGTTGCAGCAGTAGCAACAAGATCAACAGTTGCATCAGTAGCAACAAGATCAACAGTTGCAGCAGTAGCAACAGGAGCCAGAGTCTTAACAACAGCAAAAATTGCCTCAGCACTTAAGGCATCATCATTTAATCAACAGATCACCACCAAAATCATTGTCTGCAATGACTTATCAATCGTCTATGGATGATGAACGACCACAGCATCACACTTATCCCAGCTAACTCATCCCTTCAAATTTGATAGCCGTCAATTTTGAAGTGGTTTTTCCATAACTGGAAGACCTTAAACCTATGCATCCCACTCAACCAATCAAGGCTGATGGACGCTAGTCCAAGGAAAGGATATCATCACGGTGCATAAACAGATCACTATAATACCGTATTTTGGACGTTGTGGAGAAAACCTTCTACTTGACGAACGTCCTTGGTGATAGGATTAAATGGATGCTTACATGATATATGTTTATAGTGGAGAGAGAGAGATGACCATTGGTACTGAAGGTCATGATAGTATTCCATGCTTCCCAAACAATGCTTACCTGAGAGTCAGAGTAGGTATTGTGAGGCATCAGTGCCATGGTTGCGGTTAAGGAATTGTTACAATACTGGTAGTTGTGATGTAGTAATACGGAAATCATTGTGTGTGTGTGTGTGTGTGTGTGTGTGTGTGTGTGTGTGTGTGTGTGTGTGTGTGTGTGTGTGTGTATGATTGGTCAATGGAAACTGTAGTGTACGATTTGGGAATACAAAGCCTTGTATACAAGTTGTAAGGTGGTTGCAAAGTGCAACTTTACTAGTACGTAATTTGTCCCATCTGTATTTTATGTCCATGAAATTATGAATTTTCTCTCTCTCTCTCTCTCTCTCTCTCTCTCTCTCTCTCTCTCTCTCTCTCTCTCTCTCTCTCTCTCTCTCTCTCTCTCTCTCTTTCTCTCTCAAACACACAGACATATTTTAAATGCAAATATTTAAATGAAAATGCAGTCTTGAGCATATGTCACTCAACAACTATCTTTTCTCTCTCTCCTCTGAGATACACTGAAAATTTATTCGTTTATATTTAATCATTGAGACAAGTGAGGCAGCATCCTGACCACAGAGCAAAAGTTTCCTGTACTATGAATGCCCTCAAAACATGCATAAACTCCATTTTCATTTCGTCCATATTTGTAATCCTGCCATGAAGTTTTTCCACTGTGCATCAGGTGAAGCAGAAGTGTACATATCATAGATTTATATTGCCCTTGTAAAAAAATAATTTATTCATATTTTTTACAAATTCAAGCGCAGGAGACGCAAAATACTTGAGGTAAATTTGGGCAACCCCAAAAAGTATATTATCTATACATAACAAAAATCTAAACATACAGCTATTAGACTCCCACAAGACAATTGGAATTATCTGTAGTTTATGATGGAAGCTTCCACAGTGGCATGAATGGCTCCGTCACCCCCAACGCCACACCTTAAGAGTTATTCAACAGAATCATTCATTTCATTTCTTCAGGAGGTGAGTTTCGAAGCAGGGATCCACTCCCGCTCTCGACGGCTGGCCAAACAATATGCAAATTTCTTATCAGTTGAAATTGAAGCTAAAGAGTGTGTGACGTGGCTGTTGTTTCCTCTGTTACAAAATTTGCTTCGATAAACTCAGATATATATATATATATATATATATATATATATATATATATATATATATATATATATATATATGTCGTACCTAGTAGCCAGAACTCACTTCTCAGCCTACTATTCAAGGCCCGATTTGCCTAATAAGCCAAGTTTTCCTGAATTATTATATTTACTATAATTTTTTTCTTATGAAATGATAAAGCTAACCCTTTTCTCTATGTATGAGGTCAATTTGTTTTATTGGAGTTAAAATTAACGTAGATATATGACCGAACCTAACCAACCCTACCTAACCTAACCTAACCTATATTTATAGGTAAGGTTAGGTTAGGTAGCCAAAAAAAGCTAGGTTAGGTTAGGTTAGGTAGGTTAGGTAGACGAAAAAACATTAATTCATGAAAACTTGGCTTATTAGGCAAATCGGGCCTTGAATAGTAGGCTGAGAAGTGCGTTCTGGCTATTAGGTACGACATATATATATATATATATATATATATATATAGTGTGTGTGTGTGTCTGTGTATGTTAAACTTACAATCTATGGCCACTGTTCACCTAGCAGGAAATTTAACCTAAGTTGAATGCTTGGTATCTTGGAGGATAGATCTTTCCCCTAGATACCCTAGATACCTTGTATCTAGGGTATCTAGGGGAAAGTCGTTGATAACAGGAACATCAGAGACCCTAACAGGCTTACTGTTCTAAATAATGGTAAATCAATAATGGGAAACTAATACAATTACGAATGCTAAAATATATTGAACCTTTGCAATAGCTTTAATTATATTAAAAGGTTTAATTATAACAAAAAAAGTTTAATTGCTTTGCAACACAGTGATAAGCAGTTTGAAAGCATAAATTATCGGATCATTGAAGTAAAATATGTGGCCCACTACCACATTTGCAAACAATAAAGAGTATTTAAGGTGAAAAATCAAATTGTTTTACAAACAAAAGCTAACACAGTCACTAAACACAATGAAACGATCGATAAACCACTGTTACACGAAATGTTTTCAATACAGTTGAGCTCCTAAACTTTCACACAACATACTGAAGTTAAAAAATATACAAACCTGGGAAAGTTTAGGTTGAATTTGAAAGCACTTGTATATCGCGTCTTTCATTCACTCTATATCTTTAGTATATACATATAAAACTTCGATATATATATATATATATATATATTTATCTGTTTGCAACACTGTAATGTAAATATATGCACATGTGAACACAATTATTTCTGTAACTGACACTAACTTCGGCTATTTCGCAAATCACTGAATCTCTTAAAGCAACACCTCTTAGTCGGGGTGTTACTTGAGCGACCCTCACACACGAATGGGTGAGCTAAGGAGAGGGGGGTTGGACAGGCCACACTACACACCCTCTCTCACCACGATCCGGCTCGCTACTGAGCACCACACACCGGTGCTGCCTCGACCTTCCCTTACCCACCGCCCACCACCCACCCACCCACCAACCCACCTACCAACCCACCCACATCCTTCCTATCCCCACCCTTCCCCACCACCCACCTCCGAAACTCTTGGACCCACCGCCAATGTCACCTAAAATGCTACTTGGGGCTCACCACAATTATTGCAGTCTGTCTACAAATAAGGGGACAAAGGTGGAAACTTAGTACCCAAATGAACCACTGGAACGTGAGACAGAATGCCAGAGTAGTTAACAAATGGAATGCATTAGGCAGTGATGTGGTGGAGGCTGACTCCATACAACATTTTCCAATCTAGATACGATAGAGCCCAGTAGGTTCAGAAACCTGTACACCAGTCGATTAACACTTGAGAAGCGGGGACGTGAGGAAAAAAAAACAGCATTTTAAATTAAAGTGCTCAATTCACATGTGAAAATACCTGAAAAAACAACAACAAAGTATAAGTAACAATATTGTCGGAGTCGGGCAAGAACAAACGAAGTGGATAGGGGATAGACTGGAGGGTGTGGTGGGGGTTAGGGTGAGGGGGAGGAGATTGCAGGAGGGCAAAGAGGTTAGGGATAGATGGGGCAAGGGGTTTAGGGGGAGGGGAGAATGGGGGGGGTTAATATTGGGATGGTGCTTGCATGCGTCGCCGACATATCTTCACCATAACATATGATGCAACTGTTTGATGTTGGTGAATGCAATGAGGAAAATTATCATATATATATATATATATATATATATATATATATATATATATATATATATATATATATATATATATATATATATATATAATGTATTTTCGTATACGTTTCGCCATGTATTAGAGAACATTACAGCACTACAAATTGCATTACTTTTGATAGCAAAAAGAATGTTGAGCAGGAAAGTAGTGTTGGCTCAGAGGTGCTTGACATACCTCCCACAATACAGTGACGGAATTGTCACGCCTATTACCATTATTACGAGTTCACTCACATTTGCAGCTTATCTGACCCTCTCTCTCTCTCTCTCTCTCTCTCTCTCTCTCTCTCTCTCTCTCTCTCTCTCTCTCTCTCTCTCTCTCTCTCTCTCTCTCTCTCTCTCTCACTCTCTCTCTCTCTCTCTCTCTCTCCTCTCTCTCTCTCTCTCTCTCTCTCTCTCTCTCTCTCTCCCTCTCCCTCTCTCTCTCTCCCTCTCTCTCTCTTCCTTCTCTCTCTCTCTCTCTCTCTCTATCTCTCTCTCCTCTCTCTCTCTCTCTCTCTCTCCTCTCTCTCTCTCTCTCTCTCTCTCTCTCCCGCTTCCTCTTGTTAATGGGTTGATTATCTTCCGGGTAGTGGGTGGAGGCTTCATAGGTATATATATATACATATATACATAGGTATATATATATATATATATATATATATATATATATATATATATATATATATATATATATATATATATATATATGTATATATATATATAGTTTCAGATAAAAGGAGACATACATGTCTTGCACATATTAAAAATAATAAATTCACGAGAAAATTCCGATTGGTTAGGTAGTATTGAGCGAAAGTTTTTCATCTCATTTAGCATATTATATCCATTCTTACGGTTTCCCTCTCGAATTCATTGGTTTTCAATCTTTCTCATTCCTCTTTCACATTTATTTACTTACCTCACTCTTCTTTCCCCTTCTTTATTCTCTTTTTTTCATGTGCCTTTCACTTGCCTCTACGTTTCTAACTATAGTGTTAACTCTCACTTTATTCGTTAATGTTGCCTCTCACTTGCCTTATCACACACAAAGATCACAAGTGTCTAGGATGCTCCCGGACGCAGGTTCGAATCCTCGTTACGGCCCTTGTGGATTTGTTCACTTGCCTTATGTTTCCTATTCTTTAATTTTCATTCTGGTACCCACATATCTTTTCTTGTTCTTTATTTAATAATTTCGAGCGCCATCACAGGAATTTTGTGGAATCCCTCGTTTAAAGCCAATTGTTGCATTGTCCTGATACTTAAGAGCGGTACGATTAACCAACTTCGGAACGGGAGGCGGAATTCCAGATGTGAACTTCCCTGATAAATTCGTATAAAGAATTCGAGAACTGTGCAATATATGACTCAATTAGAATTATAGTTTATAGGAAAAGGCCACAGGGGTGGTGGAGGTGGTGGGGTTATAGGTTATTTGAGCTGATTTTTAAACCAAGACCAATTTGTCCCGTTTCATGGTTTCTTCTATGATTAGTTGATGTATTGAAACCATACATACATAAATGTTATGATTTTGGATCCTCTAATAATTAAGAAATGTTGTAATTTAGTAATTACATGGTGATACAAACAAATATTAATTATATGAAGTTGAATCGTTTTTTTGCGTAAACATTTTCTTTTTGATGCCTATACTTGCCTAATATAAAAATTTTATGATACTGGAATCTCCTTTTATTAAAAAATACTGTATTTTGTAATGACATGAGGATAATAAAAATTTTATGACGTTGGATCCTACTCGTTTGCTTAAAAATCATCTTTATGATAACTACATTATGATTAATGTAGAAATAACTTGATATTGGATCCTCTGTGCCTTAACTCTCCGTATCTGGTGACAACCCGGTAGGAGACCGTAGCATGGTAGGAGACCGTAGCATGGTAGGAGACCGTAGCATGGTAGGAGACCGTAGCATGCGTAGAATATTAACTGTAACTGCGCTGCTTTAATGTTGAGAGGCGGTAGGAATGTTCCTGGCGACATCAAAGGAATTGGTTTTCAGTGAAGTGAACAGTACCTAAATATACTGGTAGAATATATATTACTGGGCATAACATAATGTGTTGACCAGACCACACACTAGAAGTTGAAGGGACGACGACGTTTCGGTCCGTCCTGGACCATTCTCAAGTCGATTGAGAATGGTCCAGGACGGACCGAAACGTCGTCGTCCCTTCAACTTCTAGTGTGTGGTCTGGTCAACATACTTCAGCCACGTTATTGTGACTCATCGCCTGCATAAAATAATGTCCGTAGAGTGAAGAGATCTTTTAGCCTGTTATGATTGGATGCTGACAATCGTTAGAGCTGATAGAGGTGTCTTAGTGTAAAACAGGGAAAGAAATATATAGTTGTCAGGGAACAACGAGGCAAAGATTGTCTTCTAAATCTCCCCTCAAAGTAAATTTTATTGACTCCAATAAAGCAATCGGGATAAAAAAGGTGGGATTTTATGTATACAAACATAATAAAACCTAACATATGCCACCTAGCGAAATCTAAGCCTAAGGCAAACTAAATTAAGCTTATGCAGGCGATGAGTCACATAAAGTAAGTTGACCAGACCACACATTAGAAGGTGAAGGGACGACGACGTTTCGGTCCGTCCTGGACCATTCTCAAGTCGATTCTGACTTGAGACTTTCACAATCGACTTGAGAATGGCCAAGGCCGGACCGAAATGTCGTCATCCCTTCACCTTCTAGTGTGTGGTCTGGTCAACTAAATTAAGCTTAATCTATGCCTTACATTAAGCATGTAAGGCTATTTTTATGCTTAGAGCTAGATTAGAGTTACATTAAATTATTGTTCTCGTTTCCTCCTCCATAATTTCCATTTATCAGCACTCATTATTAATTATTTGAGCTCGAAAGGGATACATTATTAAATAATGCAAGAACAGCCCGCCAAACACACACCGAAACTACGACGTTGGTACAACGTTCGAACAAGTTTTAACACCACCTAACCAGTTATAACAACCAATATATCAAGTTGTAACAACGTTCTAATACGTCATAAACACATTAAGCCAAGATGTAACAACTTTATTACAAGTTGTAACAAGCGGAAAATAGAGACAGTTTCGGTTTGTGTTTCCAGGGAGTTCACAACCAGCCCCACACATCACAACACCAGCATATACTTCACCAGCATGAACACAATCACCTCTAACACAAACATACCCCTAACTCGTTCACAAACAAAACTATCACACTCCAAACACACTCCTCCAAATACACTCACCCAAACTCTAACATAAAACCCACATACTCACCACCTGGTTCGTATTCTCGAGTTGTCACAATAGACAGAAAGTTATGTACTAAATAGGTCGAATCTAACCTAACCTAACCTAACTGACGATTCACACATAGAAAACGTGGTTGTTTACGAGCCGCTGAGATTTATAGAACACCATATTTTGTCAGTTGTGGACTTTGACGTCAGAATGTGATGTATTATCCTAATGGACAGGTTGCAGCCCCACCACACCAACATTTACCCACCACCAACACTAATCCTCCACCAAATCTAGATAACACAAATGCTAACACAACACCAAGCCTGAGTCGACACCAACACAACCAGACCATCAACACATACACCACCAACATTAACACACAACCAGTACTAAGATTATCAACACTAACACATAACCAATATTTAAACACCACCAACACATTCACCACCAACACACCGTCAACACCACACACACACACACACCCAACGAACACCCACCAACACACACACACACACCAACACTCACCCACCCAACACCCACCAACACCACACCCACACGCAGGCGATGAGTCCCAATAACGTGGCTAAAGTATGTTGACCAGACCACACACTAGAAGGTGAAGGGACGATGACGTTTCGGTCCCTCTTGGACCATTCTCAAGTCGATTGTCATTCTCAAGTCACAATCGACTTGAGAATGGTCCAGGATGGACCGAAATGTCGTCGTCCCTTCACCTTCTAGTGTGTGGTCTGGTCAACACACCCACACACCCCAACCAACGCCACCCACAACCAAGAGTCGCTATTCGATCAATGTCACCAGATAATAATAGTCAAAATCATGAAGCTATTTTCACCCGAGTTGATGGATTGAACGTCGCCTGCCTGAACTGTTGGCCCAGGTGACATCTTCTTCATCCAGCATGATTTATCCCATTAGGTC